CTTGTTCGATGAGCGGGACGAAGAGGGGGATCGAGCAAACGGCCGAAACATGAGCAGCGGCAGCGGCGGCAAGAAGAACCGAATACGCACAGGGCGCGAGCCTTCATCGCGCTTCAACGGCGACGTGACTGCTGGCACCTTGGCTGCGATGATTGGCATCTCGGACTCAGCCGACAGAGAGCTGGTGGTGCGCCTCCCTCTCGAATGCCTCGGCCTTTTGTTCTCTCCGATTTTCTCTCATCACGCGTTGTTGGCCCTGTCCCATACATATGTGTGTCGTCGTGTGTCGTCGTGTGTCGTCGTGTGTGAATTGTAGGAGGAACGAGAGCTGCTCCGAGCCCTGGAGCAGTCGGACGAAGAAGGAGAAGAAGAAGGCGCGCACAAACGGACGATATTCCCAAATCTTGCCGGCGTCAACGCTTTCGAGAAGTCGCTTGAGGAATTGATGGTCCTGCAAGTGCGTGGTTTCCTCCAAGCACACCACTCCTACTGCGTCCTTCCTAACCTGTCAACTCCTGCACGTATACAGGAAGGAGTCGTCGATCTTGATGTTCCCCTTGTGCTCGTAGTGCTCGTTCAAGCCATCCTGGAGCTGGGCGGCCCTGAGAGGGAAGGCCTGTTCCGGTTCGTAGTACCACCCCGACATTGAGAGGCCGCGGGCCAATTGACCATTGCGCATCGCTGGTGTCCTCCGTTTTTCTTCTTCTATATAACCAGAGTTTCTGGCACCAAGAGCCAAATGGACGAAGTCAAGGCCGCCCTCATGCAGGGCGACTACAACATTCCCACCACAAGTCCACACAACGTGGCCGGCCTGCTGAAGGAGTGGCTACAGTCTCTTCCCTCTCCACTTATCCCTACCGAGCTTTAGTACGCAATCTCTCTCTCTCTCTCTAGTGTGAGGTGCGTCTCCTTGCTGACGTCTGCGGATACTGGTCGGTCAGCCAACTGTGCATGGAGGCCTCCACCCCGGCCGATTGCATGCGCGTAGTGGATGAGATGCCGCCGCTCAATAGGAGGGTACACAAGCTTGCGATGTGTGACCACCTCGCGGGTGTTGCTGCTGCTGTGGCTTGTCCTAAAAACAATCTGGTGCTCTGGTGCGGATGCGTGTGGGGCAGGTCCTGTTGTACGTGATGGAGTTCATTGTGCGCACAGTACTCACGCCGGAGGTACAGAAGATCACCCGAATGGACGTGAAAGGGGTTGGCATGGTCTTTGCTGGATGTGTAATGGCGTCGCCTTCCACGACGGACATGGCAACCATGATGTACGTAATGTGCTCTCCTCTAAGTGGTGGCATTATGTGCAAAGGACTCATGGCCAAATGCGCATGTGCTCTCCTTCCTTATAGGAAGGAGATAACAGGGCAGATCAGATTTGTGTCCAACCTGCTGATCGCCATCAACCCGGATCTTGCAGCCCCACACACCATCAGTGTTGCCAAGGCCTTGGAGGAGCAGCAGCCTTTATCTTCTTCCCCAACATCTTCTCTCAATCTCACCAAATCCAAGATCACCTCTCGGGTACAGCTGAACATCCTCAAGAAGGTAAAGAAGGCGGCCACAGCACCACCAGCAGAAAAGAGGGAATGAACAGTTTCAGATATGTACAATAAAAAAACTCTGCTAACAATGCCAATAGCCATGAATGAAGCCATGGCCCAACCTTCATGGATGCAATGGGTGCACATTGGCGCTGAGATGTGCCCACAAGCCAAGCCCCATGCTTGTGGGAGAAGAAAAAAGAGTGAGACAGGTGTTGGATTTAGCCCCTTTATGTAGTGAGGTCTTTGGCCACGTGGTCCTGCCACCATCACTGTCACACAATACATGGCTCCTGACCCAACCTGATACAAACAACCTGAAACCTGCCCTTGTACTAAACCTGCAGTGTGAGCAGTCACACCTGTGAGGTCCCTGGCGCGGTCGTGCCTGGCTGACGCCAGCGTCGGAGTGCGGCCCAGCAGGGCGGCGAGGGCCTTGGAGGCGCCAAGACGAGCTGGCTTGTCCATGACCAGCATGCCGTCGAGCACCGCACACATTGGCGCATAGGGCGCCGGGTCCAGCCCGGCGTCGGCGCACACCTCGCGCACCGACGCTGAGTCGGGCGCGCCAAAGAACCGCTTCATAACCGTGGTGGCGAGGATGGGCCGGCCGAGCGCCGACGAGCAAAAGAGCTGCTTGTCCCCGCCACAGTCCACAAGCTGCGCAAAATAGAGTCGCCGCCGCAGCCGGCTCCCCAAGCCCTGGGCGTTGCCAACACATAGGCCAGCACAGAGACGGCGGCCGAGGAGGGCAAGATGCTCTTGCACGGCATTGACCCGACCACCACCACCGTTCCGGTGCTGCCACGAAGTCCTCTTTGACGTCCGATCCCAGCCGCATCTAAACCCTTCCA